GTTTACACTGCTTGGGCGTCGCCATTCGAGTTTGGCTTTCTCGAGAAGCCGAAGGGGCCGTTGTCCATCACTGACAACGTCGTCAATGGATTCTTTGCCATTGATATTGTCCTTGCCTTCTTCGTGGCTTACCTCGACAAAGCCACCTACCTACTCATCGACGACCCGAAAAAGATCGCTTGGAGGTACACAAGCTCGTGGTTCGCCTTTGATGTCATATCGACCATTCCCTCCGAACTTGTTCAGAGAATCTCACCTTCGTCTCTCCAGAGCTATGGCCTATTCAACATGCTCCGCCTTTGGCGTCTCCGAAGGGTCAGCGCCATGTTTTCAAGGTAGCGATACGTTTTTGCACAATGAGTCTCTTAAACTGTTGCACATATGCAAGCATCTGAGATTTGCCTTTCCTTCTTTTATCAGATTGGAGAAAGATAGGAACTATAACTACTTTTGGGTCCGGTGTGCGAAACTCATCTGTGTCAGTATCGAATCCGTCTTTTGCAATACCATTTTGATTGAAAAGCGATGGCCTTCTCCAAGGTTGTTGGCATCTCACGAGAATTTGCCTTCCTTTTTGCAGGTTACCGTGTTTGCAGTCCATTGTGCGGGATGCTTCTATTATCTTCTAGCAGCTCGTAATCATGACCCGGCAGAAACTTGGATGGGGAAATCCATTCTCCAGCAAAGCCTGTGGATTCGATATGTGACTTCGCTTTACTGGTCTATCACTACTTTAACAACTGTTGGATATGGTGACCTGCACCCTGTGAATGCGAGGGAGATGCTTTTCGACATATTCTACATGCTTTTCAACCTTGGTTTGACCGCGTACTTGATTGGAAATATGACGAACTTGGTCGTTCATGGTACGAGTCGCACCAGAAAATTTGTGAGTAAAATCTCTTCTTCCTAAGGTCTAACTTGGTGCTTGAATGAGTAGACAGCGAAAAAAAGTATGACTCTTTGAAAAGATTGATTACTATGAGTTAAAGCACTCTTGACTTCAAAATGTATCCTACAAATTAAAAACTTTTAATTATTCATTCATACTCTGTCCCAGAGGGATACAATCCACGCTGCCTCAAGTTTTGCTCTAAGGAACCAGTTACCTCCCCGGCTACAAGATCAGATGCTTGCTCATTTGTGCCTCAAGTTTAGAACAGATTCAGAGGGACTTCAGCAACAAGAGACTCTCGATTCTCTCCCTAAAGCCATCCGATCCAGCATCTTGCATTATCTTTTTTACTCTATCGTGGACAAGGTGTACTTATTCCGTGGCGTTTCAAATGACTTGCTTTTTCAGCTGGTAAAAGAAGCAGAGTTGCCCCTCTAATAATTTCTCTTGATTCTAAAATTTACTTTTTTTTCTTAACTATTATTCTTAGAAAAGACCTTTCCTTGTGCATACATTAAGGTCTCAGAAATGAAAGCTGAGTATTTTCCTCCAAAAGAAGATGTGATCTTGCAAAATGAAGCACCAACAGACTTCTACATTCTCATCACTGGTGCTGCGGTACTTGCTCAGTTCACCCTAAATGTGCAATTGTATATCTTGGGTTACTTGAGAAAACCGTTGGTAGAAGTTGACGGGTTTATCAAATTCTTCAGTTGGGAGATATTAGCCGTTTTGTTTAATGGTCATAATTTAAATTTCATTTCCTTGTCTGGTGAAAAGATATCCTTAATAGTTCTTTTAACTTGATGTCTTGCAGGATCTGCTAGTTCTTAAGAATGGAACTGAAGAGGCACGTATATCTCTCAAAACATTAATATACTGTTGGCCACTCAAAATTAAAAGAAATTTCTTGTAGGCTTGAAGAAAACATAAAGTGACATGAATGCAAACTAATGCAGGTTGTTGGAGAGGCAAAAACCGGTGATCTTTCTGGTGAGATTGGTGTACTTTGCTACAGGCCACAGCTTTTCACAGTGCGAACAAAACGATTGAGCCAGCTGCTTCGGCTAAATCGTACCACATTCTTCAATATAATCCAGTCCAACGTTGAAGATGGGACCATTGTAATGAACAATCTCCTTCAGGTGTGTAAGCTAGGAACACTACGATACTGCAGCTCATGCCACTGTCTTCTCAGTTCATGTTCACTCAACTTTTGATCCAGATTCCTGGATGAATTTTACTGTACCTTTTTGTTTTTATTTCTGTGTTGACTAGCACTTGAAGGACCTCAAGGATCCAACCATGGAGAGCGTTCTGATTGACGCGGAGAACATGCTGGCACATGGTCGATTGGACCTGCCTCTCAGTTTATGCTTTGCCACATTGAGAGGAGACGACTTGATGTTGAGCCAACTACTGAGACGGGGCCTAGATCCTAACGAATCAGATAACAGTGGGAGGACACCTCTGGTTCGTAGAATTTGCCCGTGGTTTTGCCTTGAAGTTACTAACTACAGATTACCAACTCTGTTTTTCTGTTCCGTCTTTTGTGAATCCAGCATATCGCAGCATCTAAAGGAAGCGAGAATTGTGCGCTCCTCCTCCTGGATTATGGCGCAGATCCTAATAGCCGAGGTTGTTCTTTTCTTTTAATATCTGAGGAAAAATTTCGACTTCAAAATGTATCCTTTTTGTCAGCCGACTACTTCAAGTTGCTTATTACCAGGTGCTTGTGAATAACCAGATTCATAAACTAGAGTTTTGCTAAAACATGAGAGTAGGACGTAAGCTCATTACCTGATTTGGCCTAGTCAATGCATCGGGTGTTGGATTATAAACCCCAGACAGCTTTCCAGAACGTGTAATATTAATTAAGAAGTTTTGGGGCTTCAATGGACCCTTATCACCTCTCAATTATTTGAAAGGACGTATTGATATGCATACAAATTTGGACCCAAGTTGTGGAAGCATCCCCTTTCGCATATCATTTTGGCTTTTTAAGTTAGGTTTGCTGCAAATCAAACCTGACATCATATTGTCCAGTTGTCCACTTGCATGTAGTAAGCAATATATTTGAGATGACTCTAGGCACAGTGTTAAATATATAATATCGAATTTTCTCGTTCTTTTTTGCCAATTATGGCCACCATTGACACAAATGATATGATGCTAATTCAATTTTCTTCTGTGTTTAATATAATGAATTCACATGTGGATGTCCTGGTTGACTTCCTCAAACTATTGTTCTCAGCATGTTGCCTGATGCATGAAGAGGAACAAAGCAAGGTCTAATCTTTGGTCATCAGCATCTTGTTTCTATCACTTCCTTCTGTAGATGTTGTAGACTTTTTGTCATACAAATAGTCATACTGATTTTCTTGATGGAAAACAGTTTTTGATGCCTCCTGCTTATGGCACACTTTGTGCTATTATTCTTCACAGCTGTTGCCTTCTTGTGGGTTTATATATTCAAAGAATTATAAGTCAACACTGACAATTGCCTTCTTCAGACACAGATTATTCCACCCCCTGACTTAATCTTCATAGAGCAAAACTTTAGGTGATTATGAGACTAAATTATTTTGAAACATCCTTGAAATTTTGGCATGGATATCTCGCCGAATCATCCTGACATGTCTGACTGCATTAACAACATTGTTCATCGGGTTATTGTGACTGAATTTATTAAGAGCATTTCGGTAGTCAATAGGTTGCTGTCGGCTAATTGAATTGGAATTGCAGATTCAGAAGGCAATGTGCCTCTTTGGGAGGCAATAAAGGGCGGTAATGAATCCATGGTCAAGTTGCTAGCAGAAAATGGTGCTAATTTAGTATCTGGAGATGTGGGTCGATTTTCATGCACAGCAGCCGAACTGAATAATCTGGACTTGCTCAAGGAGATCGTTCGTTATGGTGGGGATGTTACGCTTCCTAAAAGCAACGAGACCACAGCTCTTCATGTTGCTGTTTCCGAGGACAACGTCGAAATAGTCAAGTTCCTCTTGGATAGGGGAGCGGACATCGACAAACCGGACATCCATGGTTGGACACCCAGAGATTTAGCAGATCAACAGGGACATGAAGAAATAGGGATTCTTTTTCAATCTATAAAAGAAACTGAAACGCCGCCTGCTATTAGAAGCGAACCCAATTTGCCTCCTGCATCCCAAGAAGGAATTGTGGACGTTGCTTTTGGCCAAAGCCGTCCAAGGAGGAGGACAAGTAACTTCCACAATTCCTTGTTTGGCATTATGTCGGCTGCACATAACGATGAGAGAAATGTGCTTTTAAGCATTAATCGTAATAAAACTGCCAATAAGTCTTTTGGGGTACGATTGGCTATCCGTGTGGTTGTTAGTTGTCCTGAAGTGGGAGACATTGAGGGGAAGCTTATGCTACTCCCAGAAAACTTTCAGGAGTTGTTGGAGATGGCACATAAGAAATTTGGGCTTACTCTGCCCAAAGTTTTAAGCAAGAGTGGAGCTGAAATTGACGATATAGCGGTTATCAGGGATGGCGACCATCTAGTCTTTTCGAGCAAGGAAGTGAAGGATGATTTTGCCGACAGCAATGACAAGAAGGTCCAATAAGGAAGTGTATAGTGTTTGTCCTTCCAAATCAGTACCTATGTCAACGTCTTAGTACAATGGAAAGTCTAGTATGACTGTTTCCATTATCTTCTTCATGTTCTTTCGCTCTTTTTACATGAATCAATGGAAGCAACTGTACATATACGATTCCCTGTTAAATGTGAGTAATCTGAAGAATATTCATGTTATACCAAACTTCGCTTGTTATACTGTTTCTAGCAGCTGAGTTCATGTTTTCGACTAACAAAAGAGAATTCTTTTCCTGCTATTTGACTGCTACTTATGCACTCGAACCTTTGGTGTGGTATCTTTTGCTGGTCATGTTTACTTCAATCAACAATTCATCCTTCCCTGCAATGACCTTGCTCCTCCAAGAGCCATCACCTGGGCAAATCCACGACGACAATCGGGAAAAGCATAGTACATTGATGGCATGAATTTAGTGCCATAAAATAAATGCCACGTACAGATGGAAATCTTTTGTGTGCGCGCGCGTGTGTGTGTGTGAGAGAGAGAGAGAGAGAGAGAGATTATTGATGGATGAAATAGTGTACATATCATGATAAAAGAATTCAATTTCTATCTACAAGATACATTTTCTGGCACATTTAGGAGCCTCTGAAAAGCTGGCGAAAGAATGTCATCTAAGAGCGTGCTGCTACTTCCCCCATCCGACGTCAGGGAGAGGGACGTGAAGAAGATACTCTTTTTGTGCCTTTAGTTCACAAGAATTGAAAGAAGAAAGAACCAACTATTCCAGTTAAGAATCTCTTGGTTGTTCCTCATCCTCTGGGAAAATCTGCAGTGACAAAGGTTCAATCATTTCTGTGAGACTTGCTATCAGAAGAAAACACACAAACAGTCAACAGCAATTTAATTAGGAAGAGGTTTGATCATTTTTTTCATTTTAATAATGAATTCAGCATGTTTATTTGAAACAGTTCGCGGAAAATTAAGTGCAAGTGAATGACTTCAATGTTGTTTTCCCAGCTTGTTCCAAATTTTATCAATATGTGGTTAAAGCTGTCTGTCTTTTTATAGGTGACCAAGCCTCTCATCAAGTGTACCTCGGCTCTTGGTCTCCTACCAAAGGCCTGAAATGGCCAGCACGAAGAACATTAATACAACATTGCGCACTTACCTGAACGAATTTTTCGTCGAAGCTTATTGATCTAAGCTTCAATTCTCCTCTGCTAGTGGTAATCTCATCCAATACTTCCGAATCGGATATCTCCATTTCGTCATTTTCTTCTATGGAATACTCTTTATCTACGCCCTGCTGCTAGAGGACAGTCAAAAGTGTTACAGCCGCAATTCTCACGAAAAAAATAAAACACTTTGGCCTAAAATAATTCAGAATCATTGTATTCGTACGTCATAATATGGTTCCCGCGTAGAAACGATTAGTGCAGGGTAATTGCAGGGAAAATGGCTGAGTTTTCACATACCGTGAGTGCGACCCCATGTCTGCCGTGGGGATTACCAGGGATTTCTTCGTAGCCGGCTGCGTCCAACTCGTGAAGGTAAAGCGGGTGGAAGAACTTGGGAAGTATGTGCTCCCTTATGCTTATTAGCAGAAAGAATGGCAACGGGAACAATATTCCTGCCACGGGTATCCAAGTGATTCCAAAACATACTAGAAGATACACGAACTGGAAAAGCGTGAAAGCAGCCATCCACTTGAAAGGCACAGACTCAACGAATGAAGCGTGCGCTCCTTCCAATATCCTGGCCGACGTAAAGAGGATTCATTAGTATGTCAGTGAGGCAATCGTGGGTCGAAGGGCTCAATTATTAATCATCTCAACGTTTCAATCGGTTTGGTCTGTAGGTTGTGAGGACTTAGTTGAGCTGTGATAGTGCGAAATTTACATTTTCAGGGCATTAACAATGAGCGAAGTGCGCTAATTTCACAACTCTAATGATAATTTAGATACAGAAACTGCCTGTAACATTCATTTTCTAAATAACAAGGAAAGGCATGGCATTGAGCCTGCGAAGGTGGCATGGCAGATTGACCATTAGGCGTTAACTTACTTGTATCGCCGTCGTGGGGTGACGAAAAGGAGCAATATTCTCTCCCAGAACTGGTTTCCGGGAAGGCTGTCGATCGCCATGTACGCGAAATAACCCCAGAGAACCGACGTGGGTATCTTCTTGATCACGGGCATGGCTAATAGCGAGGCGCCCACAAGAAGCGATTGCAACAGGTTGCTAACTCTTTGCTCGTTGACCCGGACGGGCAAATGCGCATCAATGTGCTTCGCAAATTCGCCATCCACATGGTCTCTGTCTTCACTTCCCATAACGGCATCCTTCAATTTCTTTAACTCTTTAGCGACAGATGGCTGGAAAAGGAGAGTACATTTCATTATCTCAATAAGATCTAAACATGGGTACTAAACAAGTTTCGTCTTCCTCATCGATATATTTCAAGAAGAAAAGATTCGGTATCAGGCGGTGTCGGTTTCATGACAAGAGGACTTACATCAGGAGTAGAGTCCATTTCCACGAACACCTGCTGCATCTTTCCGTATATTTCGGATATGCTAGCCTTCTGTTTCATGCATTCCTTGGCACTCTCTACCATCTTCTTTCTGATCAACTGAAAATTTCCAAGAAATTACAAGTGCTGTATTGACTGGTTGTGTCATTGTTCCTGATGAAAACGTGCAATTTTTTCTTTCATGCATCGACATACCTGTCTTTTGAGAACTGCCAGGCTCTTAGTATGCATAGGTGACTGCGGGAGGACGCCATTGGATGGTGGAAGTCCTATCAATCCACAGAGCAAAGTCTACAGTACAAAAAGAGGGCGAAAAAGGACATGAAGCTGCAGATATATGGGCATCGGCGATTCAGTTAACTGGAAAGAGCTCCTCAGGTTAAGTTTTGTACCATAAGCCCGAGAATAAGTATGTCGTAATGGTAAGCAGATGGATTCTTGAGGTTGAACTCCTTCTGCTGAGCCATTTGTGAAGCAACGCTGTGGTCGAAGAAATATAGACCGGCAACCATCACAGCTGGTATGAAAGCAGCGAAAATGTAGGCCGGAGGGACCTTGCCCATATCCTGCAAATCAACAAGACGAGTCTCTCGATCATGTTGGCGCAGTTGCTATTTGGAAAAAGAACAAACTCTCCTCTTCTGTACATGTCTACACGAAACATAGGTTGATTAGCGCGATTTCAAAATTCATTCATACCTTGATAATTGACCAATGGTGCAAAGATGCTGGCTCCCATGGTAGTGGACTGTATAACCTCCTGGGGACTCCGGACGGAACTGACTTCGGCACGCTGAAGGCCAATGCCGACCAAATCAACACCATTAACGGAACCCCATAATCCGCAATGAAGCTTCGGAACCACCCTTAATTTTAAAAAGTGTAAAGAATCAGCTCATGAAAGACAAGTGATGTCTTAATTGAATGCTTCCATTCTTCACTGAACGTTCATACCTGTGCCATAGGGCCAGCTCCTTGCCCTTCTGCTTTTTAAAGCAGTATAAACTACGCCAAATGAGAATATTATCCCAAGGAGCCCGTTCACGTACCGCCATTGGAATTGGTATACCTCTGCAGAGGAGTCTTCGGCATGAGGAACGTGGAATTCACTAATTACCCCCTGAAATTTCAGAGATCAGTACGAGTTCAGAGCAATATCTTCCTCTTAAATTAAATCAAATGTCTCTTTTAGTTAATGCAGATATTACCTTCACGGCCTCTTGAACGAACAGAACGGCAATCAACATACCGAACAGCTCCCCGGCGATCCTCGTGAATTTTGTAATGATCTTGCAAGTGTTGAAAATCGCGAGAAGAAAAAGGAGTAGAGCGGTCCAGGTACATACCCTACAAGGACATTATTGGCCTTACTAAGAAGTGAATAATTCGACTTTGTAGTTGAGAATGATGATAGAAGAGGGTGATTCTTATTACCATCCTGCCCAGGCCAAGTATAGCTCTTTCCCAAGATCAGGCCTACCCTTAGCGAAACTGTACAAGTAAGTGTACATTATAACGGTAGGCTCCGCCACTCCTAAAATCAGCAGTGGCTGGCCTCCCAAAATTGAGTGTATGACGCCACATATGGCCGTCGAAGCCAGAGTCTCCACGGTGCTCAGACTTCCATCTGAAGAAGCAGAGAACTTTTAGAAGAAATGTGAGGACTATCGTCATAGCAGAGGGAAAGACATGATGAGTTACCGGTCTCTCTGCTAAGTTGTTCACCGAATGCAATAACGGGAAGAGCCGATGCAAAGAAGACATAGGTAGTTGGAGCCAAGATCCTGAAATAGACCAAATTAAACAGGATTCGATGATTCGCTAAATCTCCAAAGATAAGGCAATTTATTGCACCAAGCGGGTGGTGAAACACTACCTGGCTCCACAGCAAACTCCACTAGCCCAGTCTTGCTTGTAACATGCTTGCCTTCCTTTAAGGTCCTGTATAATCCCCCTAAAAGGAGTTCTTATGCTTTCCATGCTGAATTTGCCGACAGATGAATCAGATAGAGAAGAGAACAGTCGAGCAATAAACATTGCTGCTATGCAGATCCACGTGGTTGAGTCAATTGATTGTTTACTATACACTACTTTTATTGTCTGGAGTGGGAAAAGGAGGGAGGCGAACCCTTCGACAACTAAATTTAACTTCATTTGCGCAATGGCTTCTTTTTCCCCTTGTTCGGGCTATCAAAAGTAATCAACATCGAAACTAACATGTAAATAATACTTTTTACGCTCTCGTCATAATAGTCTCTAGTCCTTCAATCCCTAGCAAAATTTACTTGACACTCAAGAATGCTGAGCAGAGCTGATGCAGGGCCCGGAAGGTAAGCCAATGCCAAGTTCGTTCATTCTTCTATTTTCACTAGTTCGGACAACAAGAACCATGAAGCACATCGAATTCATACTGGGATTCTAATAAACAATTAGCGAGGTTGACATTTCACATCAGCCAAGCCGAGAAGGAAAAATAATGAAGATCTTATATCCAGTTCTTTAACTCGTAGCTTTCTTTCATAGCTTGATGTGTTTGAAGATTAAATGAGCATAAAATAAATGGATGCAGGGTTGTTTGTGCTCAATGACATACAGGGACAAGAGGGGGAGGGGGATAAAACGTGTAGTTTCTGTGATTTCATTATTCTCATAACTAGACCTTTACGTCTCAGGTTGAACTTGGAGAGTTAAGCAGAAAGGGATTTCGAAAAGTTGATCTTGGAGAAGACATGAGTAATTGAGGAAGATGGAAATGTCAATGAAGACACCCTTATTGTCATTTTGTTTGTCCCGTCCAAATCCTCATCTCAGAGAGACGCTTATTACGGTTCCTTTTTATCCGAACAAATGCCAGTTTTTCATTTGCTTCCTCATGCATGATGTGTCCTGAATCATGCATCTAGACCATGAAATTTTTCTGCACAAGATTTCGCAGATAACTGAAGAAATCGAAAACAAAGACAAGAATTGCATGGGGTGACATGAACGTTCTAGTGCTACACAGAACAAGCTCGTGCCTACAAATGCGTCGTCATCCACAACGCATTAAAAACGAATACTCAGAACTCGAGAAGATAGACAAATGAGAAGATCGATCGAGAATTATTGCGAAATTTCACATACCCGGAAATTCGACGCCGATCAATAGGAGGGTGATCGGCGTCTTACCAACCGATGAAGATCAAGAACTTCTCAGGATGCCGCAACGATGTTCATCAAGACATGGAAAACCAAAAGAAAAGGGAAAGAGAGGAACGTGAAGTTTATTATGGGCCAAAAAAGGAACTGCCTGGTCATTGTTTTTTCTGGTATTTCGTATTGTCCTGGCAGATTATTAGCTAGTGCGAGACATCGTCCGCTTCTCTCTCTCTCCCTCCCTCCCTCCCTCTTTCTCTCTCCTTTCAATGATGAATAACGCGCGAGTTGGCAACAATGTCTTCAAAAGGAAAATATATACAGCTCGTAGCAATCGAAGTGCATCCCGCCGCCACATGGCATCGTGTCATTGGCCGCGAGAAGCCGCGAGCCAAGTTCCATGATGTTGTATGTTTAAAATTCCCGTCATTTTATTCTGTAAACCATGGTATAATGCTTCCGTTCTAGAAGCCTTGTTCTAATTATAGAACTTCAGAAAAAGTAGGCGAAAATAGGAAAACAGCTCCTGCTGCTGCTGAGTGAGACCATGGTTCTGAACTTATAGCAGCATTTGCGTAGTTGATAAGGATCATTATTTCCAAAATATCGCGCGACGTACTAATGTGAATGCGTAGCTGCTTTCATAAATTACAACGAAAAAAACAGAAGTTCAATCACAAATAAAGTATAGCACTTATCGGTATCTCTATGTCGTCAAACCGTGTGAATCTAAATTCGGGCATGATGAACATCTAGCGGATAATTAAGTAGCTCGACAAAATAGATATTACGGTACACAAAATCTCGTGACTAGTGAGTCCGGCTCAACCGTAAAAGTTCAGTTTTAACCACTATTCTACTCGTATGTTTCGCGTTAGATCAGATGGCGGTCTGATTCTGATCAACCATGTCCGAAATTCGGGCATAACGAACATCTAGCGGATAATTAAGTAGCTCGACAAAATAGATATTACGGTGCACAAAATCCGGTGACTCATGAGTCCGGCTCGACCGCAAAAGTTCAGTTTACCCACTATTCTGCTCGTATACATCGCGTTAGATCAGACGGCGGTCTGAATCTGATAAACCATGTCCGATTCTTTTTGCTTTTCCAGGAGCAGATGCGATTTGTCCGCGCGAAAGGATTTAGGAACCCGAAGAACATCCAAAGAGGACGAGACAAAGTGAGGATTGTGAGAGCTCGGGGGCTCCGTGAAGCTGGTAATTTTTGGGCAAGCTACAATGGTGCGCCGGATACAATGTGAGAGACAGCCTTTTGTCCTGGGGGAAGCCGGCCATTGGTGGTGGTGGGGGGTGTTGATGGTGAGTTTTAAGGGCAAATGCCAACAGGTCTTGCTTTGTACCCAAGAAATGAAAAGAGACGTGGAAACCAGACTGAAAACACACAGCCTAGCAAGTACACAAACAATGGGGAAAAGTGTCGGAAAAAACCTAAACCTATTATATTGATATCAATTTAGTCCAAAACCTTTAAGGCACGTGCCAATTTAGTCCTTTTGACTAATTTTGGTTGGATATTGCTAACGTAGACACTAGCCGGCCCACATGGTACCGTTGCCGCTAACGTGGATAATTTTTAATAACATTTTAATGTTTTTTTCGATTTTTTAATTATTTTTTCTGTTTTTTTTTTCCTTTCTTTTCTTTATTTTCTTTATTTTCTTTCTTCTACCTTTTTTCCGGTGATCGCCTTTGGCCGATGGCCAGTTACCGGCAAAAGGAAGAGGAATAGAAAAAAAGAAAAAAAACAATAAAAATAATAAAAAAATATTATTAAATATTATTCACGTTAGCGCTGGTGATACCATGTGGGCTAGCCGGCATCCAAGCAGCAATATCTAGCCAAAATTAACCGAAAGGATTGAATTGGCACGAGGCCAAAAGGTTTTGAACTAAATTGGCACAAATACAACAGGTTTAGGACTTTTCTGACACATTTTCCTACACAAACGCGATATGTATATAGAGAGAGGATATGTTAGTCGGGTGCAACATGCATTCCGTGCATTTTTAAACGTGATTGTGAGCCTCACACGAAAACCATAATATGGATGGATTGGGATGACCCGTTGGTTAGCGTCGCATCTCAACTCCATACCTGAATATTTTTTTTATCATGGGTATGTATTAGGGCGAAAAACGGGTCCACAATCTTACCCGTAAACCCGGCAAGGGCGTCCTTCAAATTAAAAAAATTTGATCTTGTACATCGGCAAACCTGAGCATCTCAAAGCCTGCCGAACTCCTCGTTCGAAGTAACCCCAACGTAAGTTCTAAACTCAGTTTAGTACGTGATAAAATTCACCAAAAACCGGTGAACTGTGGCTATCAAAAGAACGCCAATGTCCAGGCACATTCCGCAATTCGCAGATTGGAACTTTTTCTAAGGAATCGGGGGAAATTTGTCACTTGAAATTAATCAGTCCAACCAGGTTCTTCGAGGATTTCAAACGTCGTTTCAGACAATCTTTCACTAGAGCCGCACTAGTCGTTTGGCCATAACTCATCAGCAAAACTTTTGAGATTTGCGATCAATCAAATTTTCACGCTACTTTAGCTGAACACAGAGAATTGCACCTCGGACTGCAACGATCCATCCTCTGTATGAACAAGGCAAAAGAAGAGAGACACAGCTTCTACATCTCTCTCTGCAGTCTCACTGGAAGAAAAACATATCATGCAATCCTACATTCATGTGTAATGCTTGTTCTTTGAATCTAAAACGACTCGAAAAAAAAGCATTATTGCAATTAATCCCAGTACAAAATGCGGCAATTCAATCGAGGGGAATCTCACGACTGAAGAGCTTCTATGGTAACACAAAAAGTTCATCCATCGATTAGAGAAATAGTATGACTAGAGCTCTTCTGCTGTCATGTACTAATTGCTGCTGCCTCCTTGAGGACATCTGACAAGGGCCAACATGTGTACAATGAAAACGATAGGACAATCATTGGTGTGACAATAGATTAGAAAGGGATTCCATTATATAGGAAGTCCGCAAAAGCATTATAAAGCTCACTCCGCATGCTTATTTGCAAGTCATATTTGCACAAATTACAAGAGCTTTAGAATTCGTAGCCGCTCTTCATGTTCTGGATCCAGCTTTGGAGGGGAATAACAGCCTCGAAGATCTTCCACTACGTACTCCTGCGAAATTTTAAAAAATTGAATACGGACCATAAGAAGTGAAAGTGAGAGACCTTAATTGAGAAGTTCAACAGGCCAGCTAAAAGCTTGGAGCTGAAGACTTTGCAAGTGAACATAACTACTAGCAACGGTATTTGTTCCAGAGACATTTAGACAATATTAGCATCAAATTTCTCATCTAGGACTATAGTTTAGAATATAAATAAATTGCTCAACTTGTACCTTAGTGAGTTCCCTCTTTGTAAGGATATGGTAATGTCTCTGCCAGATCCTTTGGATGGCCATGGTCGCCGCCAGGAAACCATAGGCAATGCCAAGGATCGCAAAGATGACGACAAATACGATAACAAGAGCAAAGCAAGCTTCCATAGATGCTGGAAAGCAGTCCAAGATGCCCCACCCATAACAGCAGTTCTGGCACCCCGCCATCCTTGGATCATTGCCATTTAGGGAGGAGCAATGCAATATAAGTCCAAAGAATCCAAGCAGCACGAAAAATGCCAGTACTCCTGCAGAATCAATGGTCACAATCAGAAAATGAGTAACGAGTCTGGCCAGAAAATAATGACCTTTTAGTTGGGCATTTCAACCAAGGTGAAAAAGAGTGCAGTTAAGCAAACTTCTACCAGAAAATAGCATATATCCATTATATACTAACAGCATGTGAGAACACATCAAATTCTAAGAGATATTTCCTTTCAAGAAGAGGCATTAACAAGAGCTGGTCAAAAGAAAGAAAGGGAAAACTGCGTCTCGATGCAGCATAGCTGACAAGAACAAATGTTTTTAGCACACTGTGAAGCACGGAATAAAATTAGAACATCAAACGATCAAATTCACTTGATATGTGATGAAAAATCCGCAGTTATTTAACTAACATTTTTAAAACGAAATCTGCTTCACTTGGAAGAGCTGAAACATGACACTTGAAAGATCATCTTTGTTACAAATGAAAACGTAAAACCAATAGGTTCAGGTTATTGTATTATCAGTTTGGTTTTGATACTTAGTATCATTTCGGTCCACATGCCCAAAAACCCATAAATTCGAACCAAATTAAACCGTAAGTTTAGGAGATAAATTAAATCTTGTAAGAAGTAACAAAAGCTGATCCTGACAGGATGAGCTCCTCGGATAAAAGATGCCTCTACACTATCTAAGGAGAGGTTTTTATTTCTCAAGTAAACCATTGTTGATGGATTATGCCTCCCCCATCTGTCATGCTTTTTTATGCTAATGTGGTTAGTTAGACTACATGTTTCCAATCTTACTAACAGTACATCGAAATATGCAATTTGCACTACTCTACTCAATGGTTATGTAGAAATATGCAATTTTTTTTGTTGATTTCTACAATACATTGAAGGTACGCAGTTTAGTGCAAAACTTCTTATTTGCGCGCCAACTTGATGAAAAAGGTTTAAATCCTAGCCAAAAAAAAAAAATCAAAGTTATCTGTTTCATTTGATTGTGTTATTATTGATTTGATCTGGTTTGAGGGATAGATTTTTCAAGATTAATATGTTCGGTTCATTTCGGAGGTCAGTTTGAGAGAACCTCCAAACCATGCCATGAACTCTGAGAGAAATCTGGAAGCCAACAATACTTCTATAAGCTGATTTCAATACCAGAATTTATCGGAAGTTGATACCAAAGCTACAGAAAAGATGAAATTGCTGGATACGCAATATCAACAATGGCAAGAAAATTAGAGACCACTACAATCGCCAGTCAAAACAAGCAATAAAATCATGAGCGAGGACATTTTACCTATACAGTAGTAGAATGGAATGGGATGCTTGGACAGTATGCGATCCCACCCATCACTAAACGAGTTCCTAAAGGACCCATCTTTGTCCATTATGTAGGCAAAGCCACCAATCATGGAAATTACCTGGACACAAGTTATAAAAACATGATAATACAAAGTAAACATCTTTATTTCTTTCACCATCCATTCACCTCAAATTCAGTGGAGTTTAGTAAAGACAGGATTAAGTACTGAAAGCTCTAATATATTACGTCAAAAGTTCTTCCTCATTAAATCTATCAAAAGTGTGGCATTTTTCCAACAACATCAAAGTTACATCACATAAATACAATCAGGCAAACCGGGACATGGATTTTATAACAATAGCAATACTAGCCCTTCATACAAAATTCATAAGAAAACGACCCAACCAACCATGCATTCATAAAGAGGTATCGCTAGTCTGAAGATACAAATTCATGTGATATCGGTTACAGAAACAAATACACCCACCAAAGAAAGAGGAGATGGAATGTACTAACAGTAAATTTAAGAGTATATCAGAAATTCCAAGTGAAAAGGAAAAAAGAGTAGGATCACTCACAGTTTGCACTGCCAAGAAAACAAGGAAGACATCTCTAGCCACAAAGAGTCTGAATTTAATTTTTCGCCAGGTATTGTCCTCAAACAATGCAACTCGAAGGTGAAACTGCGCTTTGCAAGTGGTGCAATGTGAAAAGGCAAACCCCTCCTAGTAGATCAATAATAAATAATAAATTAAAATCCACACGTCCAAAGAGCTCATCCCAAATTCACATTTGGCCATGAAAGTCTAGACAGTATTGAGCACCTTAACTGAGCGCCAATGATCAAGACAACAACGATGGACAAACTGTTGAGTGCCTTTGCACATGCAAGGAGAGATTAATTCATCCTCTGCAAATTTAGAAATCTAACGTCAGACTATTTGCTTAAAAACAATACAGAGCAACGGAAACATCATCTTGTAACAAGAAAAGGATGCTAAATGATCATAACTCATGAAGAGAGATGAACAGAAAAATATAAAAGACCAAGGAGAGAGGGCAAGCAAATTCGAAGAACACTTATCACGTTTAGATTTTGCCAAGCAGAATTATCCATGCACATGAAAAGGCCGCACCATCCAGTAAATAGGACTTGTAGTAGGTTTAGCCCAGCAGCTTATACATATTTTTTGGAATATTATTCATCCTGAAGGAATGCATCCTCCATATAATCCACAGCGTATTATCATCCTTTAGCTATCAACCTAACATTAAACTTCTCTACAAGCGTGATCAAGCCAACAAATACAATCCCCCAAACCTGGACATCAGAATGGGCACAATAACTAATAATGACCCACCACCCCCACCAATACATACAAAATCATTAACCAAACACTGAAACCCTACTAAAAAATCAAAATTTGCGTACACCCTATACACAAATTAATCTCTTTAAAGATCGACTCGAAAAACAGAACATCTTCCTAGCTCACGCAACGCAATCCGATATCCAAAGCCGATCACATATCTTCTACTAACACGTCTAAGTCAGGGGTCCAAGCAACTGACGCACCATCAATTTCGACAAACGAAAACGCAAGCCGAAGCCATGCGCAGCCTTAAAAAACTCAACCTGGTTCACACTCGCTCTCCAGACAAATGCGGCAACAAGGGACCGACCCGGCCTCGATATCATCGTCATCATCCTCATCATCCTCACGATCCCGATCGTCTCTAATCTCGCTGGTGCTCCCGGGGGTGGTCGAATCCGCCTCGCTCTTCAGCAGGGGATCGGTGTCGCTCGCGTGCTGCACTCCGGGCGGCTCGAGCTGCACTTCCCCTCTCATCATCCCCTTCGCCCCCCTCCCTCAAGACGAACAGGAGCGCGAACCGAAAAATCCCCGACCTCCGCAACCCTGAAAACCAAGAGCGTCGATCGTCACACGAGCGACCGATGATCGAACCCTAGCTAGACTCATCGAATTCGAAACAGAACAAAGAACATCATCAAAATTCCCCCCCACCGCCGCCACGCGTGGCTCGGAAGCTAACAGTTTCGCGAGCAATCGCTTCGAAGATGCCCAATCTTGCCATCGAAGTAGCTTCGATCGAGAGAGAGAGAGAGAGAGAGTACCTGGGGATGCGCGCGCAGAGGATCGGAAGCAACGTCGAAGGTGAAGGTGCTGTAGAGAGAGAGAGAGAGAGAAGGAGGAGGAAGGAGAAGAAGATTTGTCTGCAGCTTTGATGCTTCCTATTTGGGAGAAGTATGGAAGATTGACGTTGACTCGTTGAATTTTTGCCCCTTCCCCCCCTATACTTCGAATTTATTGTAAAAATTGACCCCCGTACAGTTTCAGATTTGCGGTATGACCCCCGGACAGAAGATTTTTGATGGTTTCACGCCCTTCTTTGTCGCGCGACGGGAGCCGGAAAAAGTTTGGGGCCGGAAAGCGTGTGAAGTCTGTCAAGTCTTCGGTGAAACTTTCTTTTGGGTCACTTCACCTAAACGTACCGACCGCGGCACGGTCATACTTTCTTTCTTTTTTATTTTATTATAATGACACGGGTAGTTGCGAATTAGTTCGATCGAGTACTCAAACTTGAGAAGAGCCGAGCTGAATTCGAATAATCTACTAGATCTCTGAAAAGGGAAATTCATCGTGCCCTGAATTAGATAGCCAAAAAAAATCATTTACATGCACTCCCTATATGTGGAATGAATTAGCTATTTCTTGCTTTGATTTAGCTATTTCTTGCTATGACAACATGTAAGGAGACACGACCTCCAACCTTAGATTCAACCGAAAAGCACAAAAACCGTCCTATCCAAGTACATCGAGTGATTCGACCGAAAAAAAAAAAAAGTACATCGAGTGAGGTGTCGCTGCCGTGGTGACGGTGATGGCCCTCAAGATTACTCTAAGTGAAAAACACCGTAGCTCAAAACCTATATGATCCTAATTAATCACTTAACCAACTCTCTGAGTTGATTCTATTTGTATTTTTATTGTTTTTTTTCTTCTCTATTGACTTATATCTAGGAGCTCTCTTCTCCCGGCCTATTTCTAAATTTGAGAGTTTGAACTCTCTCGATCTAGTTTAGATTTGAGAGTTATGCTCTCCCAATTTAAAATGGGGAGTTTAACAAATATACTCTTAGGGATTTGATACTCTTTGCTTTGTTCGTGTATAGGTACTCAGCCTTCAACTTCAATGGTGATTACGGAGTTTTAGCGTTTCGCTAAATCACGAAGATTTGCTCTTCCACATGTTAGATATGTGTTTGTTCAATCTATTTTGGTTATCTCCGCATGGCGATAGTATAGAAGAAGCTGAACCTTGGGGGCATAGTTATTGGAGAACGAATTCCCGGCATGTAATCACTGACGAAAATACGAGATCCAGTAATTGACCATCGATTATTTTGCTTAACAATGTATGCTTAACCTTGTTGGTGCTTCGTTAATCGTTCATATTTTCTGAATTTGGTTTTATTTTACAGTATTTTGGATTTTGCTCTGTTTCAATTTGTTTTGTCATGGAGTCTATGCACTTTTCATGCATCTTTTTTGAGTAATAAATACAACTTTCTTTTGAGAAAAAAAAAAAACCCTCTATGAGTTGAGCTCTAGCATGTTACGCGGTATCCACAACTTACAAAGGCAAATGCATGTGGAAACGTATTGAACCGGTCGTAAGTTCTTTGCATTTTCCAATTGTTTTTGTTGAAGATCGTGTCATCGTCCCAACAGTGTCAACTAAGAAGGTGATGCTCAGGATTTGCATGATTCATTCTACTTGAGAAAGGCAAAAGAGAAACCCAAGCAAAATCAAAGCCAAAACCGCAATACAGATACAAAGACTCGAGAGGAGATTATGCGCTGGTATTAAGCAAGCGATCAAAAAGCTCCGGCGGGCGACCGAATTTCATTTCGGTCGAGTAACCGAGCAAGCGAGTCGGAACATTGGTGAAGGAGTTGGCACTTTGGGCATGCCCAGCTCTCAAATAGCACAGCAATTTTACGTGCTTACTTTAAAGAGAACAGGCAAGAGCAGTGCGCCCAACGAGTACTGCCAGAGAGAGAATCTCAAGAATAGACATTCGCATTGAAAAGGAAGGAAGGATAAACAGGAGTTATGAGACTGCTTTTAATATCAGTAGTGGCATATCCCACCCCCTTCTGTCCTATTCTCCCAAGGTTCATAAGGTTGCAATAAAACCCGCATCCGAAAGATTTTCACAGGATACATTTCATTCCATGCTTAAATCTCACCGCATCGACTAAAAGCAGGATTACAAAGACACGAGCAGCTAAGATGTTCGGGCGCGCAAATAAAGGTGTTGGGTGTGTCTTGCCTTCGATGCTCTCGGCAGCTCAGACAAAAGAAATGAGCCTCTTTTAGGAGGACATTTCTACTTCCAAAGCTTCCGCAATGACATGTTTTTCTCCGTCTCTTTCTTCATCACCTTTGCCACTGCCATCTCAAAGTCCTCCTGGGTAACGTGAACCCTTCTTTCCCTCAGAGCAAACATGCCAGCCTCGGTGCACACAGCCTGCAGAGAAGTGGTTTCACATGTCAGGCGTTAAGAACACCGACCTAGGATAATAAGCTTATGATGGGCTTGCTAATGCAGGATGGAAGCTGAATAATACAGCATAATCTTATTATTATAGCGCGAGTAGTAAAATGCTACCAAGCAACTTCCAAATTCAATTTCATTAGATAGATTCGCCTGCAATTCCAACTAGAAATCAGGCAAAAAATACATCCCTGACAAATTGGAAACGCAAGTATATTTGCCATCTAAGTAGTAAGCAGTTAAAACACATCAAAACTTATTTACATCTTTGGGAAGCACAAAAATCTCCAAAAGTTTTTACAACAATCAAAATGGCAATAGCTATTAGGTTCATAGAGGAGCAATACATGACAAATTATGCCATTAATCAAGACCTAGTTTAAATTTCTGCCCACCATCATGTACTACTCTCCTTTTAACACTTTATTATGGTTTATGGTTACACTAGCTAATCTAGGTTTGCTGCCACAACTGAACTCAATAAAGATACCAGGAGCTCCAATATGTATACAAGTAAAGAGCCAGCACACTGGCTGATTCAACAAGCAATAGCCTAAAATCTAATACGGTGGATATTTGGAATAGACCAAAAAAAAAAAAAACACAAAGGCCCACCACATTCCTACTGTAAACATCCCCGATGACCTAATAGACATTGTCTACTCTATGCAATCATTTTCTGGCCCTAGTACATCTACCATATTTACCAGAGACTTAAGTTAGTCAAAATCCCTAATTGCTTGCACAATGTGGAAAAATAAAATAAAAAATAGGCCCAAGATTTAATGCTGCAAAAGTACCTTCAGCTCTGCACCAGATGCACCATTCATTTTCTCAGCAATCTTCTTCAGGTCAATCCCTCGCATTAAGTTCATCTTTCTTGAGTGGATTTTGAGGATATCCAGTCGAGACTACAGACAACCAAGAAGAACACAATGAATATTGCAAAACACAACTCACCACAGGAATGCACATAAATCTCAGTATGTGAATATGCAACTTCACCATAAAAGTAGATAATGATGGACTATATGGCAACTCAAGCATAAGACCAGTAATCAATCATTACCCCCTAAAGGAACTAAGGATGCTTTACTCGGTAACTATGGCCAAGAGTTTCATCCCTATCAAGTTTAACTACTTCACATCCACGGGAGGAATATTTATTTGAAAAGTCCCGAAAAAAGATCGGAGATTCCAAAAACCCTTAGTTAACAAAGAAAGGTTGATATCTTTTTGGGGAAAGCATGCCTGCTCTTTCAGCCAAGCCTACAATACCTCAGCCAGTTTCTTTATTGTCCTAATATTATGTTATGAAAGACCCTCCAATCTGCCAAGAAACACCTAAATAAATTCCTTGTATTTCAGATAAAAACAGCCAAAGCATCCCTAAAGTTCTCTCACCCCAATAAAAACTCGGCACTACATTCATTTCCACCTTATACATATAGAGTTCCTGTTCTTACAAAAATTCCTACAGGACATATTTGGCCTTTCCAATTAAAAGAAGCATAAGAGCATAAAAGACCCAACTTTCCAATCCATCTAAGAGTAAATACTTAAACAAAGAATTATTACAATTAACCCATATGATAAAGCAAAAATAAGCACCAAATATATGTGACTAGTGAGAGCAGTCAGAAATGTAGTTCCTCATGCAAACAAAAGTGCGACGAGTAAAAGGTAAAACTACAACTCCCAAATCCATGAGGGGACAAAACTCAGTAAATATCCAATCTACCAAAGGCATGCCAATTTACACGGAAATGATCAAAATAGTGACAGCTTGTTAAATGGTCAAAAATTGAACAATGGCGTAAAATCATCCGGTTAGGAACTCCACAAGATTAAATTTTACCTCTTCATTTGGATTTGGAAATTCAATTTTTCTGTCAATTCTTCCTGGCCTGAGAAGCGCTTGATCCAAAATATCAATACGATTCGTGGCCATCAGAACCTGTCATCACCCCACGTAAATGAATGATTAAATGAATTAGTGAATAAGGCAATATACGACATATCTTTTATCTTTCACCAACAGCCCTCTGGTCACATGCAGTACCTTTATCTTGTTGGATGCTTCAAATCCATCAAGCTGGTTAAGAAGCTCCAGCATAGTTCGCTGAACTTCACTATCACCATTACCACTTCCAGATTCCATCCTAGCAGATCCAATGCTGTCGATTTCATCCATGAATATGATCGATGGAGCGTGCTCCCTGTACGAAAATGAAATAACCAAGCAAATTAGCCGCTAAAATTGCTGCTCTAAGAGGCAGAACAGACTAGCTTCAAAAAGAAACACTCTCTTGTCTCATCCATCCACACAAATTG